GTGTGTGTGTGTGTGTGTGTGTGTGTGTGTGTGTGTGTGTGTGTGTGTGTGTCTGCTGCACTGACCTGGGATCAGTTAAAGGCCATATTTCATATTTGTCTTATTTTCTATTGTTTATTCTGCTGTTTTTGTTTTTAAGTTCCAGAAACAGAAAAACTGAAGCGATTTGAAACTAAAAGTTTTCTTCTTGTTGTTTCTGGTTTTTATTGATCTGTTGGAAACAAAAACAGAGAATGTTTGTTGTAAATATAACGTTTTTAAAGCCGAGGAGTTTCTGAAAATAACCGGAGAGATTTTTAATGAAAAACTGTAACAAACATTATTTTACAGAAAATAAAGAAAGAACTGCTGAGATGTGTCTGAGTGTTTGTGTTGGATTATCTGAGCACACATTAGAACCTGTGTTTATTCTGCATTTATTCTGCATTTATTCTGCATTCTCTTTTATTTATTCTGTATTTATTCTTTTGTTTATTCTGCATTGATTCTCCATTCTGACATTTATTCTACATTTATTCTGAATTTATTCTGCATTCTGCCATTTATTTTGTCGTTTCTTCTGCATTTATTCTGTAATTTAATCTGCATTGATTCTGCATTCTGACATTTATTCTACATTTATTCTGTCGTTTCTTCTGCATTTCTTCTGTCTTTTATTCAGCCACTTTTGTCATTTATTCTGCATGTATTGTTTATTCTGCATTTATTCTGTCGTATATTCTACATTTATTCTGTTTGGTCTGCATTCTGATGTTTATTATGTGTTTATTCTGCATTTATTTTATTTATTCTGTTTGTTTTGTTTATTCTGCCATTTATTCTACATTCTGATGTTTATTCTACATTTATTATGTTGTTCTGCATTAATTCTGTCATTTATTCTGCATTTATTCTGTCATTTATTCTGCATTTATTCTGTCTTTATTCTGCATTAATTCTGTCTTTATTCTGCATTAATTCTGTCATTTATTCTGCATTTATTCTGCATTAATTCTGTCTTTATTCTGCGTTAGTTCTGTCATTTATTCTGCATTTATTCTGTCTATTTTGTCATTTATTCTGCATTAATTCTGTCATTTATTCTGCGTTAGTTCTGTCATTTATTCTGCATTTATTCTGTCTTTATTTTGTCATTTATTCTGCATTAATTCTGTCTTTATTCTGCATTAATTCTGTCTTTATTCTGCATTAATTCTGTCTTTATTCTGTCATTTATTCTGCATTCTGTCATTTATTCTGTCATTTATTCTGCATTAATTCTGTCTTTATTCTGCATTAATTCTGTCTTTATTCTGCATTAATTCTGTCATTTATTCTGCATTTATTCTGCATTAATTCTGTCTTTATTCTGCGTTAGTTCTGTCATTTATTCTGCATTTATTCTGTCTATTTTGTCATTTATTCTGCATTAATTCTGTCATTTATTCTGCGTTAGTTCTGTCATTTATTCTGCATTTATTCTGTCTTTATTTTGTCATTTATTCTGCATTAATTCTGTCTTTATTCTGCATTAATTCTGTCTTTATTCTGTCATTTATTCTGCATTCTGTCATTTATTCTGTCATTTATTCTGTCTTTATTCTGCATTAATTCTGTCTTTATTCTGTCTTTATTCTGTCATTGCTCTGAGTTTTCTTCAGGTACATTTCTTCTCCCGTTAAAAACCAGCATCAGGTCCTGGACCAGCAGGTGGACTCACGAAACCTGTCCTGTCCCCAAAACCAGGACCTTCAGGTATCCTAGTTTGATCTGCCTGCTTTCATGTGACATAAATAAATAACAATAATTATAAACAATATGAATAAATATAAATGTTGTCAGCTGACGTCACCTGTTTAGACAAAGTAAATCAGTTCTTCAGCAGGTAAAACTCCTGATCTTCTAACAGCAACATGTCTTCTTCTACATCCTCATCATCATGATGAAGATCCTGAAAATAGAGGAACTGTTCATTCAGTTGTTTCTGACAGCTGCGTCATGACGCTTGCAACAACACCGGAAGCAAAGGTGCAAAGCTTCAAAATAAAAGCCTTTTTTAAATTGCCTAAATGTGAACAAATTCTGAGGTGTTAAAAACAGTAAATATATTTATGTTGTAACTTTTATGTGACAATTAGCATAATATAACTTCTGCAGTCAGATCTAATCTATATGTGTGTGTGTGGTTAATTTTAAATTAATTTCTACTATAACAGTAATTTGATTCTGGGTTTATAATTGAACATTGTAAAGATAATATTTTAATAACTGAGTTTTAGTTTTCTTTTTTTCTGTGTACTTTTAGCATCAAAGCTTGTAAAAGAGTTTTCTACAGTTTTTGCAGTAAATAGTTTCTTGTCTTTAACAAGTCAAGAGTGGCTCAAACCACGGGCAGGACC